TTATTATTATATAATATATAAATATATATTATATAATTTGTATTTTGATTAATGTTATTTATTGTTGATTATTATTATTATTATTATTGGGCTATTGAAGTGTGTTTGTACTAGTATACACATGAAAATGTAAATGTTGTATTCTGCTTATCTTCTCAAGTTTATTACCTGGTTATTTATTGGTGAGAAAAATAAACAAACAAAAGTGAACCAAGAAAAACCTGAGTAATATCCTTTTGTACACTGGGTTGCCCTTTCCGTGGGGAGAACACGGAACAATGACAAATACCTTAATTAACAGTCACTTGTCGCCACCTACTGGTGTAACGATGCAATCGTTGTTTACTCGTTATTTATTTATACGTTACTTTCAAAAAATGATTTTCTTTATTATGATCGCTACTGTAGACATCAGTGTTTATGTACAAACTATCAACTTTAATCCAAGCACTTCTGAGATAAAAAATGACAAAATTACACAAATATTGGGCAAAAAGTCGATGATTATTCTATTTGTATCAATATTTCTCAGTGTTAAATGATACACACCGTCCAGATTTCTCTCAATAAAGAGAAATGCTGATAATACATACATTTCATTCAATACCAAACAGTATTATTAAAAATAATTTCAATGCAATAAAAAATTTAAATTTCAACTAATATTTGTATATGGTATGTATTGATTGTGCATATTTTGAAGTATTAGCAACAGACGCAAAGGGGCGAACTCCTCACATGCATTCTTTCATTTGTCGCAGTGCATTCTGGGATTGCATTATCCATGAGGAATACACGCAATGCTGCTTTATGTTGTGGCTAAAATAAGATATCTAATAAGGCATCATCATTTCGCAGCTAATCTTTTTTAACAGCCTATGATGCCTTAAAATGATATCTGGGTTTTGTAACAGAGCTGATATGAGCATGTGTGTGTGTGCACCTTTAACAACCTAACACACACTAGCATCGCCATGGCAACTCTAGCGAAGCGCCAATACTGTCAATAGTGCAACACACACACACCAAGTGCTAAAAAAAAGAATTGACGAGGGCAGCAGCGTGTGACTGACAGCTGTCAATCAAACTCAGGACAGAATAGGACAGATCACAGCAGATCTGCTTAATCGCCAGGATCTAATGGATGTAATGTCAATGCCAGTGGCTTCAGACACGAGAATCACACGTCGAGACCGAACTGAAGCGCTCGTAAACAGCGTTATCGAAAGGGCATCTTATTACTGCCAGCCTCATGTCACAGAGAGTCCACCAATATACACACACATTAATGATGATGCATGGTCGCCTACGGCGACGACCCTGATATTATTCATGGCCTTGTTGTCACGCCGACAGTGCTGTCAATCACGCAACAGACTAGACTACAGTAGAGGCTCTTAAGAAAATGTTCGTTAAAAATACAGCTGTTCATGTTAGTTCACAGAGCATTAACTAATGTTAACAAATACAACCTTTGATTTTAATAACCTTTTAGTAAATGTTGGAACTAATATGAACTAATATTAATAAATGCTGAAGACGTATTGTTCATTCTTAGTTCATGTTAACTCGGGTAGTTAATTAATGAACCTTATTGTAAAGTGTAACCAAATAAACAAACAAACACAACCATTGCTGTATTCACTACAATATAGACATGGCACATGCCCAGAGATGCTACTAAACACACACACACACCGATTCGCTCGTTGACTCCCTCTAAATGGGAGAAAAGAGCAACAATGTAGCAATCAATTAGCGCCAAGCACTTGGAGTGTTCTGCCGTCTCCATGGCGACCAGATTCCACTCTCACTCCGTTGCCACGGTGAGTTTAAACACAAGATCCTTAACACAACCACACACACACACACACACGAGTGTGCCACCGTTAGACACATTAAACCGTGGCTCCGCCATCATGCACAATGAACAAATGCTAATAGACAAGCGTGTTTTAACGCACAACAACAGCTTAACGACATCAGGAACATGAACGATCCCATGAAACCCTATCGAGTCACTTCAATGCGACTCAAATCCCTGAATCCACACTAGCTCTGCTACACACACACACAAAAATCGACATTTTGGTCACATGACTTCGTTGCATGTTTAATTTAGTGTTGTCCAGTCATCAGAAACAAATATATACTGTATATATATATATAAATATAAATATAATATACGTATACCAGTTTTTATCCACTCATAAATAAAAAGGAACGACTGATTTTGAAAATGTAGTAGAGTAAAAAGTAAGATATTTGACTTTGAAATGTAGTGGAGTTAAAGTAAAAGTCTCCCAAAATTTAAATACTTAAGTACATATACACAAAAAAGCTACTTAAGTACAGTAACGAATTACATTTACTTCGTTACTGTCCACCACTGCTACTTACACAATAGTGTTGTTATTATTGAGCTGAAGTTAGTTCAGGTCAGTATGGCTATATAATTCTACTGTACTGTTTTTTTGGGGGTTTTTTGCAGTATGCATACTGTGACTAGAGTATAATTTTCTGTTTCTATTAAAATACCCATTAGACATACTCATTTGCGGTATAATAATAGGTTGAGTAATGCTAGCTCACTCAAGGTGGGATACAATATCCCATAATGCAATGCACGTGACTTAATCTTTCCTTTTGACTTCCTTCTTGACTGATTATTTGATCAACCTGCCAAAACTTCTGGCATTTTATTCTATTAAGATTGCCAGAATTTTTTTTTTTTTTTGAGTTTTCTAATATTTGTTTCTGATGACTGGACAACACTAAATTAAACATGCAACGAAGTCATGTGACCAAAATGTCGATTTTTGTGTGTGTGTGTAGCAGAGCTAGTGTGGATTCAGGGATTTGAGTCGCATTGAAGTGACTCGATAGGGTTTCATGGGATCGTTCATGTTCCTGATGTCGTTAAGCTGTTGTTGTGCGTTAAAACACGCTTGTCTATTAGCATTTGTTCATTGTGCATGATGGCGGAGCCACGGTTTAATGTGTCTAACGGTGGCACACTCGTGTGTGTGTGTGTGTGTGGTTGTGTTAAGGATCTTGTGTTTAAACTCACCGTGGCAACGGAGTGAGAGTGGAATCTGGTCGCCATGGAGACGGCAGAACACTCCAAGTGCTTGGCGCTAATTGATTGCTACATTGTTGCTCTTTTCTCCCATTTAGAGGGAGTCAACGAGCGAATCGGTGTGTGTGTGTGTTTAGTAGCATCTCTGGGCATGTGCCATGTCTATATTGTATATATATATATATATCAGACTAATTAATGTCATTTCATTGATAGATTGGTGTGCCAAGAGTGACATTAGTCTTCACTTAGACTGAGTTAAGCAAGAGTCTTGTGACAAATTATAATAGGACATTATAGCCAGGGGCGGCGTTTGCGTATGGCAGAGTATGGCCGTTGCCATACCCTAGCAGTCAGAGTTCAGATAAAACATCAGCTAATGATAATGCTCGGTAAAGATTTTAGGAGGGCTTTAACCCCCTAAATTCCCACCCAGTCCCCCCAAAAATGTGCGTTTCATTAATCGGCTGTCACCTTTAAAAGTGTTTAGGCTACTCCTTCCAGTATTATCTCCGCAGCGTCAGCGTCAGAACAAAAGCAGATGACGACAACCAACGTGTGTGCATTTATTGATAGATCGTTGATATATATGCATCTGTGTAGTTATTTGTTTGTCATAATAAATAAAGTTTACATTATGTGATGCTGGAGCAGCAAATCAACACGGATTTCCCACTGTAAAATCGGGCTTAATTTATTTATTAAGTTCCTTTCATCCAAACGGCATAAGACTTTGTAGCATTTCCTACTCTTGCTATAGCCTACTTCATACTTCCGTGCAATAAAATTGCTAAAAAAATAATAATATTAATTTGATAATAAATCCGAAGGCAAAACACGCGTTAGGTCTATAAGTGACGTTCAAGATGAGCGCTGCTCTTATGATTGGTTGCAATGCTGTTCGTTCACTGTGAGTTTTAATTAATAGTGTAATAGAGTTATATAGTATAGTACATTGTGTTTAATTTGTCGTTTAACAAATACATTAGGGGGATCTAATGTATGTTGTTAGTGGCGAGAATATTCACGTGAATACATACATAGATCCGACTATTATCTCCATGTACTTAAATGGTCCAGTGGCAAAACTTTCGCCAAGGGTGTCAGAGGTTCTGGGTTCTAATCCGCACTACGCAGTATAGTTTTTTTTCCCCTCATCAAAACTGATTGTTTATTAGTAGTTGTAGGCATGCAGGGACATGGTTTTTTTTGTGTGCATTATGTTTTGTGATTTCACCATAACGAATGGAGTCTCCACAACGGATTGAAGCGCGTCCGTGTGAAGACTGTGCGCGAGTCACAACAGAACACTATATCCGCGCCACTGATGATAGCAGCTGCAACGAGCACTTTGGTGACTTAATTTAAAAAACAACACATTTCAGCACTAGATCGCCTCTTATTTAACAAACGAACAAAATGAATGCTCTATTAGAGTTAACTGGAGATGTTTTATTTATTTGTATTGGTACATGATCCGTGCCGTGAGATGTTTCAAAAGTGGTGGGGACACAATCGACCCTGGCAAAAAGTGATGGGGACATGTCCCACCCGCAAATTACGCCTATCTATGTATGCCCAGAGGGAATGCCATACTCTAGGTTTTTGTGAAATGCCGCCAATGATTATAGCCATAAAAAAATCAAAGTACTTGGATACTTAAGTACATTTGAAGGCAAATACTTTTGACTTTTACTCAAGTGAATGTTTATAAAGGCTCCACTTCTACTTTTACTTGAGTAATATTTTACCTTGAGTATCTTTACTTTTACTCAAGTACATGGTATGTGTACTTCGTCCACCACTGGTAAGTAGAGCTTGAATCATTTTGCATTTGCATTTTTCTGTGAAGCTCCTATGAAAGGATCTGTATTGTATTTGAATAAAGCAGACTCGACTAGTGTCTGGTTTTCAACATCACCTTGATTGGCTTGGCGTCAGGCGTGAGCACTTCCCCGGACAGCTCCATCATCTTCAGGGCCATGAGGGCGATCGGCCTGGCGTGACTGTCCATCTTCCGGTGCAGGCCGCCCGCCACGCAGTACGCATCGCCTATCGTCTCGATCTGCGGAGAGAACAGCTTTACTGTACACACACACACACACACACACTCGTCCCTTGTTCTGTATTGACCCTGTCGAAAACGAGACGGTTCATCTCAAGGGGTTTATCCTATTCAATAAACTTATATACATATATATATATGCATGTGAGCTGTTATCCTGATTAATGCCCGACACTGTAAAAAAAATATTGTTGGTTTAACTAAAAAAAGTTGCCTTAAAATGTTTAGTTCACTGATTTTTTTTTTTTTTTTGGAGTAAATGCAATGAAGGAAATTGGTTTAATTAATAGAAACTCAAATAAATAGGACCCCCTCAAAAACTAGATGGTTCAACTTATATATATAAACTTATATATCTGTAAGCAGTTATCCAGATTAACCCTTAAGGTCCTTTCACACTGGACGCGATTTTGACGCACGAATAATTCGCGCGATAGTTTTATTTTTTGATCAGCTGTTTGTGTAATGAGTGCTTCCACACCGAACGCGAATGTGCTGCGGCGAAAAACAACTTTTATTTTTTTTAACTTTTGCAGCGACGAGAAGGCTTCAGCCAATCACATACAAGGAAACAAAGGCGAAGCTTGTTGACGCTTTGGCCGCTCTGACGTAGCAGCATTAAGTGCGAGAGAAGAGAAGTGTCACAACCATCGCAACATGAAATGTAAACTAAAAACAAGCAATACATTGAAACTAGAAACCTTTTATAATGACAGCATTTTTATATTGCCTATTCCGCATCTCAAGGCACGCATTTATGACATGACGTTGTTTGCTTAGGGACCAAAAGAACGAGGCATGGGATAAAATAGCTGGGATAGTTGGTGTCTCCAGCGAGTTGATGAAGTGCTTGCTGATGATTTATAATATTTGTGACTATTCATTATTATGAATGTATCGTATCGTTGGCTATGCATCGAGATGCGTATCGCATCGGCCTCAGCTATGGAGATGCATATCCCTAGCCCAATATATCGAAAACATTTGGAATGGGTCAGACATAATTTTGGCCACTTATTTAATTTAGTTTTGTATAAATTATATCTTAATTTTAATCAATGTTTCATCAACAAATTGCCTGGATTAATAGGAATAAGAAGCAAATATAGTAGACAATAGGAGACGGAGGCGCCGGCGCGTGAACTGAAGCGCGTCTCATACCGAAAACTGACAGAAAACACTAGTTTATTAATAAACAATTCAAATGTTTAATGCATAATCCTTACTTTGGCCAGTTTTTTGTGGCAAAGTTTTAGCTACTTTACAAGATTAGCATACTCCCCTTCAGACTCTCTGTTCTTTAAGATTGGGTGCACACAAAACCTTCTTTTCTGTCTTTTAAAGAAAACGAAAAGCTCGTCTTCACTGGATGATGATGATGATGATGGTGAAGTGTCCGTGTTTTCTCAGCTGTCGGCGCGAAAGTTTTGAAATGTTGAAGCTCTGAACGTCGCAAATTCGCGTCGCGGCTGATGTGAATGGTTTTGACACGAACTATTCGCTTTTCTGTTACGCTTTTTTGTTACGCGTCCGGTGTGAAAGGGCCTTTACACTGTAAAAAAAATTATTGTTCATTAAAAAAAATATTTTTTTTAGTTAATGCAATGAAGGAAATTGGTTTAATTAATAGAAACTCAAAATATTAAGTTATCTGAACCACATGAATTATCTAAGTTGATTTGACAAAAGATAAAAACAAATCATGAAAATAATGTAATAATACAGTGTAGAAACGACTCAGGACAGCCTAGCGACCACATAGCAACAGAAGTAATTAATGAGAATATTTCAACTGTACTACTTTACATTTGTAAAAGGATCAGGGGCCGTATTCACAAAGAATTTTAAGGCTAAAAGTAGCTCCTAACTGGCGAATTTAGGAGCAACTCCTAAAAATAATGGGCGTGTCACTCCTAACTTTAGGACTCCTAATTTGTTTCACTAAGAGTAATTCACGAAGCATTTTAGCCCTAAAAGTAGCACCTAAGTCTGGGACAGCTTAAAAGAAGTCGAGAGGACTCCTAACTCACTAAGACCAATTCACAAAGGATTGTAGCGCATACCACCGCCTCTCGCAGTCGTCCGGGGTCCGCGACACAAGCGGGAATGCTGCATTGATCTGCAAACAAATCTCCTGTGTGTTTTGCTTGATATCCCAGTGGCGAATTTTCCATTTATCTTTTTTTTTTTTAAACACAACTGAGCCAGCAGCAGTAATGGTGTGTTCACACCGAACGCGAATTTAATTATTTGCGCGAGTAGATTACATACAAAGTCAATGCAAAGACGCGAATAGACGCATCATTCGCGCCGGGCGTTGCGATTGACGCGAATTGGGCGATGCGTTTGCCGCGAATGTCTTCCGCGCAAGTTGAAAAATTTGAACTCGAGCGAATGTTCAAGCGTCTAACTAGACGCGATAGACGCGTATTTGACGCTCTATTCGCGTTCGGTGTGAACACACTGATCCAGCGTCCAGTTGGGCTTTCTTTTCCGTTTTGGCGAGTTCATAATCCACCGTCATCCAACTATTACATTAGGCTACTTCAATAGGAGCAACATTTCCTTAGTCTATTTAGGCTAATAGGATGTCAATTAATGTGTTAATGCAAAGTGTTAATGCAAGTGTCGTTTTTCATTATTAGGCAAGTGGCTGTTTTCATTAGGGTAGGCTACCTTGATTTAATTTAATTTAATTCACGCCTTTTTTTCTCTCTCTCTGCCTTTTTAGAATTACACTTCACTGGGGTATGCACAAACATATGCATTTCGATGACATTACTATTATTATTTTGCGTAGGACACAGACATATTTAGATGTCGTAATTCCATGATTTGTTGCGTCTGTGTCATGTTCCGCATGATGGCCCTGTCATCTAACAACCAATCACCGTGATCATTGCGAGGAAGCTCGTGCATGAGAATTGACGTCATCCATAGCAACGATGACTCACTCTTAGTTTAGGAGTTGTCATTTTTCCTTACTAAGAGTAGGTCTGAAAGGCGTTGTGAATAACTTTTAAGAGAAAACTCCTAGCTAAAATATTTTAGTGCGATTTAGGAGTACTCCTAGAGGTAAGATAAAAATCTTTGTGAATACGGCCCCTGATGTTATTGTTCAACAAGTGCCCGCAACCAACAAGTCCATCAGGCTCGTGTTTTGGCCAAATTTGAACCCTGTAGTAAATATTTGGTGCCACATTCAATTCAAACCAACTGGGGGACATTGTTCAACCACTCATGAACTGTTTGAAGCGTTTAACCTTGAGTGAAATCCCACGGACTCTTCTTCTGCAGGTTTAGGGGAGGCTGTGCTAAGTTGTGCCAATTCTTGATCATTTCCTGACCAGTGATTTGTGATTATAATGGTTTTAAGGCCATTAAAAGACCACTAAATATTGTGACATTTTTGGCTTGGGCCATGTTTTGCCCAGGGGTGTGTGTATGTATGTATTTATATATATGCTTCTTTACATCTTTACTCTATTGTATAAATAACCTAATATATAAAATACCTTGTTTATGCAAGATATACTTTTTTTCTTTTGATTTTGGGGTGAAATGTGAGATGTGTCTTTGTGAGATTCACCCTGTCAAGGTTA